ATTGATTATGCTTTTTCCCCCTCTTAGTATGTAAAATATCAGCCGCATCAAGTTCTGTAAATATCTATTCAAATGTCAGCATATGTATATCTGATTAGTTGAGTGTGGTATGGTTAGCTCTGGGATAAGCAATCCAAAACTTAAAAATCAACAACCACTTAAAATTGCTTTTTTTGAGAAGCAAAGAACTTAGTAGGTGCTTTTTGCACCATCTTATGATATTGTAATGCTAAAAATAGAATTTCTGTTATCTTTGTAATTTTTGCCATCTTCTCTGTTACTGTAATAGTCTTTGCAACAGACAACAATAAAATATTTGTCTTAGTGATGGGTGGACACCTCATGGCATCATGAAACAGTGGTTAGATCACAATGCAGTGTGAACTCCCTAACTTTGTGCTAGTTTACTATCACAGTTCTGTGGCAGAACATCCATTATGTACACACACACAGCTTATCTTCCAGAGCTCTAAAGAGAGGTGTTAAAGAAGGAACAAATGTGCTCCTGTTCTAGTGTCATTGAGGTTCAATACACTGTAAAATGTTTGAATCTTACTGCTTGAATAATCAATGTTCATAAGCATCAGATTATTCAGCAAGGTTCACACAGATACACTGTGCAAATTTGTTGTGTATTCCTGGGTGCTATTTTATGCGGGGGGAAAAAATAAGCCTCTGTTGTGAATGGCTTAACAAATCTGAAATCTTAGGCCACATGACAAATTAGTATTTCAGTTGATGGATTTGAAGACCTCTAAACCTGGCACCATGACTGAGTTATGCTAGTCATGCGAATGGTAAAGCGCGAATGGTAAAGCAAGAATGCTGTGCAAGTCTCATGTAGTTACATTTTCCTTTTAAATTGCTTTGCTTTTTTATCACTGACATGTTCTGCTATTGCCATTCAAACTGCTGTAGCTTCTCATGTTTAAGGCTTGTCTGCTTTCAGAACACAACGTGAAATTGTCAGATCGTGACAAAGGTGGCGCACACACACACACACACACAAAAGCAATCTTTACACTTCTTTTGAAAATGCCAAATAGTCTTCAGAAACTCTTGAGACTTCTCAGTTTAAGAACTTTTCAAACTAGAAAAACTTAAGAAAAATGTTCTCATAGTTCATGACACAAAGGCTCATCATTGGTTCAATTAAGCCAGTGGCTGCATACTGTATGGGTTGAGTTTTAAACTGCATATTATTGTAGCAGCATCGTATGGGATGGCTTTAGTCATGTTTTTCTCTGTCTAAATGTTAATGTAAGATCCAAGTATTGACTGAAAAGCTTCCTAGCTCATGTTGATGTGATGTGCTTTGTTTAAGAGAAAAAAGACAAACATTGTGGTTTTGGGGTGCTTTTGTGCTCCCTGTTTTGGGGTGTTGCTCACAAAGGCTTATTTTTTTATAAAGTAGAATTCCACTTGTTACAAACCAATATGCAAAACTGCTGGCCTTGTAAAGAGTGCAATATTATATATTTTTATGTAAAAGTAAAAATGATTTTTGAAGCAAGGAATATTTATTCAGCTTAATATTCTGGAACTATTAAAATAACATTGCAATAGTGTCTGTGCATGTTGTACTTAAATTTCCTGTAAATGTCACATTCCACACTGTATTTGTATATACACTGTCACATTGTTGGGTAATAAACAGATCTTTGTATCAAACCATTTTGAGATGATTAGAAACATGTTTTTGGCTTAGTTGCCACTTTCTTCTTTTAGGAAATCTTTCATGCCTTGCTCCAGATCAGTTTCTGCCAATTCCCTTGTCTTTCATATTTTAAAAATCATGATGTGGGAAAGTTCCATTTATGGACTACATCCTGTGTCTGTCAAACCGAAGGTGGTGAGTGTAAGATGGGAAGTGGGAAACTATGTATATCACTTTGCACATGTGTACATGTGTCCTTCCTTCCCACAGGATGTATGACTAGAACTTGGATGAAATGATGGCTCTCAAAGCAGAGACATTCCCCTTCCTTCCATCTGCCTTCTCACTGATAGCCTGTCTGAGCAGCAAAGGCAGAAAAGCAAATTCTCTCGGGATTCTCAGAAAGACGGGTGGAAATTGGAAGACTGGTATCTTGGGAAGGCATCTGACAGGATGTGAGGCTCTTTCTGCTGGAGCCAGGGTTTGGGAGATGTTCATGGGGCAAGGCTTATCTACCTGATTGCAGGATTCTGTGGTAAATCCAGACCTTTATGCTCAATAGTGGAGAGACATGGTGAGAAAGGGAAGGGGAGGCAATAGCTGGATATTCCCCATTACTGGAAGGGAACCCTGATCTTTCATTTTGAGATCCACTGCTTAGACAAACCCATGACAATGAACAAAAGGGGAAAAAAAAAAAAACTGAACTGAATTAAGCACAAATATAATAATAGTAAAAGATAACAATGGAGCAGTGGGGAAAATACGACCTGGCTTGCTACTAACAAATTTTTAGTTTACCTTTTAATTCCTTCATGCTTTCTTTTGTTTAAAGCTGTATTGGGATTTTTCCTTGCATATGAAAATGGAAGTCACACTTCCATATGCTGCTACTCTATCAGAAAAACAATCAAACAATTACTGTTTAAAAGCTCTGCTTGCCTTGAAAAATATCCACTGGAATATTTAAGCCTCTTTACATACACACACTTTTTTTACTTTGCTGCTGTATTAAGTTACAAACTACTGACAAATGACTGCTGTTTGGAGATTTATTTGCCATTACTGCTCTGGAGTTGGGGTCAGGCACTGATTTTGTATCAGAGTTTCTGTAATAGGCTCTGTTGTGTATTTCATAATTTTGAAAAAATATTAAAAATGAAATGTGGCTGCTCTGATTAGACACTTAAACTATTCTGGACTACACAGCAGAAAGTAGTTGAGTAAAACAGGATCTTGTTTACTGTTTCCAGCTTTGAGATAGCATTCCCAGGAAGAAAAAAATTAAATCCTTATTCTCTAATGCAATTGACAGAAGCCCATATAATACTCATCAGAGCCAAGTTCATGTAAGTTCAAGGAATATAAATTTGTGTTAGCTGTATGGGTATTGCTTTCAGAACCTGTAGGGGAGACTCCTGGTTGTGGTGGAAGGTTAAGATTTTGCAGATTTAAAAGAAATATCTGTGTAATATATGATAAAAATATGTTTTTAAAAGAGCCATTTCCCACATTTATATTTTAGCATATGTCATAAAATTGTTAGAATCCAGTGGTAAAAATATTCTGATGACAATAGCCTCATGATGAGAACTATCTACCATGTGCTCTTTGTCTAACAGCATGTAAATCCTTTGTGTACGAAATGGGGCCTTTTGTAGATTGATGATGTGGTTGAACATGAATGAAAGAGCAGCAAGTCTCCATCAGTTTCTGGAACTCTAGTTATGGGAAGCTTGTGAACTTACCTGATTATGTTTAGTGATGTTTACCTTCTTCCTGTTGCATCCCCTTCTGCCAAGCCACTACCCCAAAAGTCATTGACTCCATCTCAGAAGAGACTGCCCTTGCTCCAAAGCACGTTTAGAAATAGGACTCTTCCTTGTTCTCTTCCATATAGAAAACAAATGTTACTTGGGAATTCTGCTCCATTATGATGGAATGAGAAAATGTGCTGAGGGCAGGTAGGAGAAAACATACACGACTCCAGAGGGAACTGGAGAAAAAACTAATGAGTCTGGTGGGGAAAAAACTAATGAGTCTGGCGATCCTGCCAATGGGTTATCGCAGCTGACAAAATTTTCATTTGAAGATGTTAACTGGCACTGGTTCAAATGCTGTTGAACCATACAGCTTTTATAGGGAGAACCATATAAAAATTGATCTATGAAGCTGAATTGTGTTGTTCTGACATACTAGCCCTGACAAGGTGAATCTAAGCAGCGCATTTCCCACAGCAGTTCCGTTCCTCATGGCACGCTTTTTACATCATCCTTCTGTTGCTGGGTGTGAGGGCAGGACGGGCACTGTGGGCTCTCACCCCAAACCCCAGTGCCATTTCAGGCTTTGCTGTTTGAGGTACAGCACTACGGGCCGGGGGCAGAGTGGCTGGGAAGTGGCCTGGTGGAAAAGCACCTGGGGGTGCTGGTCAGCGCCCAGCTGAACATGAGCCAGGTGTGCCCAGGTGTCTGAGAAGGCTGATGGCATCCTGGCCTGGATCAGCACCAGTGTGGGCAGCAAGGCCAGGGCAGTGCCTGTACTGTGCACAGCACTGGCTGCACCTTGAGTATTCTGGGTTCAGTTTTGGGCCCCTCCGTTCAGGAAGGATGCTGAGATGCTGGAGCATGTCCAGAGAAGGGAAATTGACTTGGTGAAGGGAACTCGGGTCCTGTGAGGAGTGGCTGCAGGAGCTGGGGATGGTTAGCCTGGAGAAAAGGAAACTCGGGAGACCTTAGCGTTCTCTACACCGGAAAGGAGGCTGTAGCCAGGTGGGAGCAGGTCTCTTCTTCCAGGTCACAAATGACAGGATGAGAGGGAATGGCCTCTAGCCGTGCCAGGGGAGGTTCAGTTTCGACAGTAGGAGGAATTTCTTCACGTAAATGGTGATTAAACTTTGGAATGGGTTGCTCAGGGACGCGCTGGAGTCACTGTTCCCGATGTGTTTAAGGGAAGACTGGATATGGCACTTATCGCCACGGTCTAGTTGAGAGAGTGGTGTTCGATCAAAGGTTGGACTCGATGATCTCAGAGGTCTTTTCCAACCTAATGGATTTTGTTTCTGTGGTCTGTGATTCTGTTTGAGAATACCTGGATGATCGCTTGATCCCCAGCGCCTGCGGTAGCCGGGGCAGGAGGCGGCCGCAGCAGGAATCAGGAGGGACGGGGGCAGGCGGAGCGTGAGGGCGGTGCCTCCGGGGCCCGCGGCCGCCCCGCCCCGCCGCGCCATGTGCCGCGGCCGGGCTGCCCGCAGCCTCCGCGCCCACACGGTGAGGGAGGGAGGGAGGGAGGGGAGGAGGGAGGGAGTGCCCAGGAGCGCGGGCGGGAGAAGGTGCCGGGAGGGGCGCCCAGCGCAGGGCGGGTCGGGGCTTCCGCGCGGGGCTTTCTCCAGCGCGGCGGCTGGCGCTGGTGTCCTGGGAATCCCTTGGCCGCTCCGTCCGGCATCCCGGTGGTCCCGTGGGCTGCTGCGGGTGGGCAGGGGCCGGCGGCGGCCGCGCGAGCCGGAGTTTCCCGGTTATCCGCAGGAGTCGGCGTCGGGCTTTGGGCTCCGTTGTCGCCGGCACCGGCGGGGAGCATCCTTCTCCGGGGAGCCCGCCCCGAGCCCAGGTATCCCGCGGGCGGCGGGGAGGGGGGCTCTGCCGGCGTGCTCCTTCCTCCTCCGTCTCTGCCTGGGGCGAAGGCTCAAGGAAGTGGCCGCTTTTCCTGCTGGCTAGCTCGCACTGACGGAGGAACAGCTCCAGCTGCCCGGCTGCTGCTGGCGGCAATCACTGATGTGTGGTGCTGGGAGCTGCTGCACAGCAGAGCCATTAGGGCAGCGCAGTGAGACAGAAAACTCGGAATAACAACTTAAAAAACGCTTCTGCCCTGCAGGTGATGCAGTGCCGAGCTTGCTGGAGAAGATCTCTCTATATTGTAGGTTACAATTCTGTCCAAATACGTTTTAAGTGGGGTTTGAGAGGAATAATTAAAATTTCCTGTGTATTTCTTTGAAAGCTCACAGCTATCTTTCAAAATTAGCTAAAGAGGTAAAATAGTAGCCAGGAAAAATCTTTCTGCCTCAGACTTTCCAAATCTCTGGTGGTTTGCTGGGCTATATGTTCAAATAACCTGTATACTGATGAAAAATAATATTGTACAAAAATATTGTCTTTGGGAAATATCACATCAGTTCAGCCATTATTTCCTTTGAATTTTTTAATGTTCAGAAGCAAGATTATAATTCTTAGTAAAAATTTGGGTATGATGGCAAGAATTTTTGGAACTTGACAATTGAACTGGATATAGTACTGGATATGTTAGATAAGAACTAGGCTGTTGGAGTTTTGCTGATTTGCAGTTACATGAGGAGAAGTTATTTTCAAAGTCACCATGGTTATGGTATGAAAATTTCATTCTTTCCTTATTGTGAACAATTGTTCTTGCCTTTCATCTGATCATTTCTGCTTGTAGTACTAAGCTTCTCCTTAGGAGATGGACTGAAAAGCTGCAGTAATTTTCTTGTATTTCTTTATGCAGCCATGAGATAGAGAAAGAAAAGGATTCCTCACCCTGCCTCTCTCTTTACAGAGCTACATCAGTTGCTGTAAAACTTAGAGTAAGAACTGAGATAGTAGAGGAAGTTTGGTTTCTTTCCATTTCTTTTTCTTTTTTTTTTCTCTGTTTTAATTTCTTTGGTATACCAGTTTGGCATCGAACAGCTGTGAGGCTGTAAATTTTGCTGTTTATGTTCCTGCAAGTGGATAATGAAATGTGACGATCTTTCCTCAATTTAGGATGTGATTTGCAGGTCATTATCCAGGGATGATTCCCACTAATGTCACTAGAACTTAGTTCAGTGATTGATTGGGTTAACTTTCCTATTGGGCTGTGTGGTCCACAAAGTACAGAGCTTGTGTGGAAGCTTTTCTTTGAAGTTGTCAACCCCAGGTTTTCTAATCTAGTAATTTCAGGTCCATGACTTTAGATTAAGGCAGCAATTTGGTTTCAGGCTTTTTAGATTGAGTTCCAGAGGTCACTTTTAAGCTATGGCATTGTAAGATTGTACTTGGAGCTAGAGGGGGGGAAATGCAGCTTTTCATCCCTGTTTCTTGTAGAAATCCATCCTTGAGCTTGAAAATTCAGTTTTGCTTTCAGTTACTCAAGTTTTTAGACTTTTTCTGCATTTTACTAACAAGTATTTATAATGTTTAGTAGGTGAAGGTTGCACTCCTCACCCCAATGCAGCATCAAGCTATACCTGCAAATCTTTATGCAGCTTTATGCATTATAATAAGATAAATTTGACTTTGAAGTGCTGTTGGGTACAATCATTCATTGTAAAACAAAAAAGGGAAAAGCTGCTCTTCACAAGCATTTTTAGGAGCCTGAGAAATGAAGAACTTCAGCACACATGAGTTACATGCAGAACCCAGAAAAAGGATGAAGTGAGGTAAACAAAACGCGAGAAAATGCAGCTGGCTGGGAGGCTGTCGCTGTGCAGCTTTCAGGAGTGATGCTTTAGGAAAGGGCTGTCTGGTGTGAGGTGCCAGTCAGCAGAAACTGTTTGGCTAAAAAAGGCTGTGTAGCTGCTGTCACTGTTCCTCGTTAGCCCGGCCAGTGTTCCCCTAAAAGAAAAGAATCAGTAGAGACCAGGTCAATGAACTCGGTGTGCTGCCCAAAAATAGGCTGGCTAAATGGGCTCCTGTATAATCCAGGTCTGCTGGCTGCAGCAGTAACACGTAGGCTGCATGAAGGCTGCTCGTTAGCACAGTTACTGTAACTAAAGTGATTATCAGGGCCTGTATTGACGTGTGCCTATATTGATCCAACATAAAACCAGCCAGGAATGAGTAGCAGCAAACCCAGCTGAGAATTTCTGGTTCCAGGGGTTTTAGGTAATTCAAATGATGGGGAGAAGTTGCTCCTTTTAAACATCGAAAGGGATGTGGTCAGCAGGTCCAGGGAGGTGATTCTGCCCCTTACTCAGCTCTGGTAGCACTGCATCCACACTGCATCCAGCTCTGAGGTCCCCAGCACGGCAAGGACATTGACCTCATGGAGCAAGTCCAGGAGAGGGACACCAGGATATCAAGGGGCTGGAGCACGTCTCCTGTGAGGAATATCAGAAAGAGTTCAAATTGTTCATCCTAGGGAAGCAAAGGCTCCGGGGAGACCTTACTGCAGCCTTTCAGTAATAAAAAGAGGCTTAAAAGAAAAACTGGGACAGAATTTTTAGCAGGGCCAGTTGTGAAAGGACGAACGGTAATGGTTTTAACTAAAGAGGGTTGATTCAGACCAGATGTAAGGAAAAAAGCTTTACCGTGATTGTGGTGAAACACTGTAATATGTTACCCAGAGAAGTGGTGGATGCCCCATCCCTGGAAACATTCCAGGTCAGCTTGGAAAGGGCCCTGAGCAACTTGTTACAGTAGATGTTCCTGCTCATTGCAGGAACATTGCACTTCCTTGAACCAGGTGATCTTTAAAGGTTCCTTCCAACATAAACCATTCCATGATCCTGTAGACTGGTCACCCAGGTACAATATAAAGATAAATGTGCCTTCCTGTAGGACTAAAGGCCTAGAGAATACTTGGACAGTTTCAGAGGAGTCATCTTAAGAGAGAGGATGAGATCCATTTGTCAGGCTGCAGCCTTAGATGAAACACATCCTGCAAGAGGGTGTTTGAAGGAGAGGCTTCCTCACATTCCAGGGGATGGGTGTGTAATAGATTCTCTTGTAATTAAAATTTTTCTTCTCTCCAGAGCTTTATTTCTAGGTAACAATTTTATTTCATTAAAGAATATTAAGCTTAAGGTTATTATCATAGGTCCTAAGGAGAACAGAATCAAGTGTCATACAAAGTTTTGTCTGCAGGAAGGATCTTTATCACAGCCTGCTTTGAAAGTGAGTACAGTTCTCATTGTCAACATCACTCCATATGTAATAGGGCCTTAAATGATGCACAGATATGTACTGTGTTTGCAGAGAGTGAAAGAAGGTAGAGGTATATGTAGCTTGGTATGTGAGGAGAAGCCAGTCTCGTAAAGTTATGGAACCATACCTGTCTGTAGAAAATTAAATACTTAAATGGATGCTAAACACTTCCAGAAATATAGTAGTTAAATATTTAAATGCATGTAAAGGCCAAGGTTGGAGCAGGATTTGGAACAGAAAAAATGTTTGTACTTCAGAACTTCAGAGTATAAACGAACCTCTTGCTGGGGATAAGTGGATATTTTCTCTCATGTCTGAAATGCCTAGAGGCAGACTTTTTTTTTGTTGTTGTTTTAAAGTTCTTTCTTTATGAAGCCTCATATTCTGTTTGGTTTTTTTTGATACTGTTAAATGCTTTACTAGTCAAGATATATATTTTATTTTTTAAAAATTTTCCTAGTTGATGTTTCAGAATATAGGTAAGGATATATTATCTGTGTGGCATTGTTTTAGAAACATGGTTTGAATTTTTAGAAGCACTTTTATGCCTAATAGCCTTTTCAGAATTCTACTATGGACTTAATTCTTATTCTGTAAATGCTTAAACACTGGCTGGAAGTACTATGAACACTGTTCTTGCCAACTTTGTTGTAGCTAGTAACAGTTCAGATTGTCTAACACTAATGTTTATAGCTTTTACAGTATGAGTGAGTGAATTGCCAGAAAGACTTGGGAGATCTGGAATTCTCTGGACTGTTCAGGGAGTTGCAGTTGCTTAATTCAGTTTAATTTAAATGTTTGTGGCAAATGTAGAAAGGCCTCTGACTTGATTTAGCTTTGACATTTTTGACTTTGTGATCATTAGTAAGGTAGATGTGGAGATGATAAAATTTAAATTATTCACTCTTGTGGGGATATCATTTTGTAAACAAAGCTAAATGTGTTTATTCTAATTTTTATGGATGGGTTGATACTTAAAAGTGAGGAGGTTGAGTCAAACAAAAAGTCCAGAGATGAGCTGTAATTCAGAGCCTTCTCTTTTTGTGAATGTCTTGTACCCTTTCTTCTGTTTGACTTTCCACTGCAAGTCAAAACACATCTCAAAATGGATTGGAGGCTGTGGCTTGGTTGTGGATTTTCGTACAGTACATGGCATTTTATGCAAAGCCAGTTCCTCCACATATATTCAGTCCCATTCCTTGTAAGGAATATGAGTTTAAAAATTGTAAACAAAGATGAAGACAAAGAACCTGCTGTGTTCTGACATGATTTTATTTCATCAGAGCATGCAAGGGGGAAACTTGTGTTCCATTCAAATGACACACATATATGCAGAAAACCTGTTCTTTTTCTTGGCATATGTTCAAGCTCTTGTTTTGTTTGGCACAATTAATATATTTTAAAGTAGCGTTTCCCTGCCTTGACTTATACTAGATCTGAAAGAAAAAGATTCTCTTGTTTCTTCAAATTAATGTTGAGCATGGCTCACCATGGCATTTGTATTACACCATCTATTTTACAGCACAGGTTACTGATTTTTAGAAACAGTTTGTGTCATACCAGGCTGTGAGAAGAAACAACTGTCTTTGTCTTGTCTCTGAGCATTTGTGTTTTGCAAAATCAAAGTAGTTAAAAAAGTATTTATCCATTCTTTTTTTACTATAGATTGTGTACTTGTCTTGAGTCTAACAGGGGCATTGTATGTACAGGTTTTTTTACAAGAGCATTTCCAGTGTCCTACTTTATTTCCTGTTTGTATCTTACACCCCAGTGACTGGATCAGGTAAGCTATCAAGGTTCAAGAAGGGAAATTTGTGTGGTTCTAGGTGTTTGCTTCTTATTCAGAAATAAGCTGGAAGTATTCATTTTGAAGGGTCTGAGCCTAAAACTGCTTTGGCAGCAGTGCAAAAAGCCTCCTTGTGTGTGTGTTTTTCTCCTGTATCCCATCTGCCTCTCACACTCTGTGTCCTTTGCATTTTACTGAACTTTGGATTGGTTTCTGAGGCTTGGTGCCAGACTAATCTGGCTGCAGGTGGCAGGTGGTCCTTGTGTAAGGACCACAGGGGAATGTTGCCTGATTGAAACCTCACCATCCGGTCTTACTAGGTAGTACAGCTAGTCTGGGACCTGTGTAGGTCATCTGTATCCCATCCCATCTTTCCATGTGGCCTCAGTCCAACCTCCAGTGACTTCAAAACAGTGACTGTTCCTTGTGCTAGGCCAGCGCTGCATAGAGGTGTCAGCACAAGGGGCTCTAACCTGCAGACCACCTCTGGCACAGGTACTGTAAGTTAGTCAAGGTCTGAATGTGGACATCTCAACTCATTTGGTAACAGTGCTGAGGACTGCTGGATATTGAGCTGATTTAATCCCTCAGGGAGGAGCAATGCAACAGAAACAAATGCTGCCATACCTTTCCTAGATGTCCCTTCCCAAGAGCTGCAGATCTCTTAAAAAATAAAGCATCCTGTACTGTACAGCATACTGTACTGGGTTTAGTCATCTTTAAACTTTTCTGGGGTGTCTAAGCAAAAAGTTGGAAACCTCTGCATTATTTCTTCTTAATCTGTTACTTAATTTCTAAACTTCTTTTATCAATAGAATTCTGACTCATTCTCTATCTTAAAATTTCTCTCTGATGCTTGGTGAGAGTGGTGTGGCATTAATTTCCACTGCACACACTTCTGAGCTTGTTTTGATGTTTCTAGGTGTAACTGGGGCGTGGAGCCAAACTGTGCAATGCCTGCAAAGTCTGTTTGTGAACAGCTGTTCTGCGTTGGCAACGTGAACCAGGGCAACCATTTTCACGCTGAAGTCATGGTCATGTGCTCTGCATTTGTATGTCATTTGCAGGATTCAGGCAGAATGCTGACGATCAAGGATGCAAATATGTAATGCAATAAAGTGCCATGGAGCAAGAGAACAGAAATAAATGGTGTCTGCTTTGTATTCGTGACCAACAGCCTGACAGTGTTGATGTGGTGGGCAAGGGCTGGTTAGAGTTCAGATAGCTGCTCTCAGTGATTGCTGCTTTTGCTGCCTGTTCTTTAAATGGTCTCAACTTCATCTTTTCCAGGAAAAACAAAATGAAGGAACTAGTGTCAAACAGTACAACCAGTATTTCTCAAGCCAGAAAAGCTGTGGAGCAATTAAAAATGGAAGCATACATGGATAGAATAAAGGTAAACTTAGACTTATTGTTGATATTTTGAATTCACTGATATTTTGAATTCACTGGCTAGTTTGTGGAACAGTATGCCCTTAATAATGCAGAAATCAAGAATCTGTGTTGAGCAATAAAACAATATTCAGTACTGTGAGTTACATACCAACTGGTGTGTTCTAGTGAAGTGATTTCCAAAGCCTGGCTTCAAGTCTGCTTCTGTGAGAGTGTCTGTCATGTTTGTCAAAAGTGGTATTTTGTGAAATACTTAAAATCAGCTGGTGGGGCTCTTCTTTGTCACCTCTAGCTGAATTTAAGTGCAGCTCTGGTTTCTTGGTTTTTCTCCTTTAAGAATTGGAATAAGTCTTTAAGACATTGCAAAATTTTTGAATAATGATGAGACAAGCTGAATTGCTTTGCTTTGTTTTAGTGCAGACATCATTGCAGACACAAAAATCATGTGAGACTGCAGTGTCCAGTTATGATTCTTCACACTTGATAACACGTTGTATGTGAAAATTTGGTTTCATCATGCATCTTATTACTAAATATTATCATTAAAGGGACTATTAAACAGAGGTTTTCTGGTTTTTTTAACCAAAAAATCCTGTGGATTATTCTTGCATGTCATTCTTTCCACAAGGCTAAAATTTTGTGAAATACCAAGCACCTAGAAGCTAAAAATGCCTTGGAACTTTTTAAGAAAGCAATGCTTATTTCTTTTGCTCTCTTCCTCTGAAAATAGGGTATAATTATTTCGATAAAAATCCAGTCTCTACAAGGAAGAAATTCTTTCCATCTTTAAAAAGTAATGCATTGAAATTACCCAGTTCTCTACAAACAACTGTAACCGAGTTGCTACAAATTGTAACTGAAATTATTAAGTCAGTAGGACAATTTAGAAATGTTGTACATTAAAATCTTCATGTAGGTCTTTACTCAGTCTGTTTGTCCATCCATCCTCTGTGCTGAAAGTCTGCATGGGGACAGTAGAATATATTTATGATTTTTAAAATAGTCTCAGATCACAAACTCACCAGCTGGAGAAGTAATATTTATTAATTCAGAAATATTAGCACAATGCACATGAGTGGTCAGTCTTGCTCATATGAAAAAAGACATTTCAGTCATCGTTTTGTGGCAGTTTTTAGTGATGTCTTGTAAGACCACTGAAGAGGCAAAAGTGCTTTCTCTGTTTCATAACATGTCACAAATTCATCACATAACCCGTTCACAGGGACAGGTGTTTGCTTCCTGCAGTAAAAGAAGGCCTGCCTTGGTTAGTCGCAGGTCATATTGCAGCTGCATGGACAGAACTGACAAGGGAGGGTGTGGGTGGCAGAGGAAAGTGTTGGAAAGATACGGCCCACTTTACTGGCACTTGAACTTGTTGATACTTAGTAGATTGCCTTAAACTTGCTTCTATGTATGCAGTGGCAACTGTCACATCCCACATCATTAGGTCAGTTTTGCAAATAGCTTCTTCATTAGTTAGGTGTATAACATTCTTAATTGCATATGCAAGAAAGACATAGCTGTAAGAAAGACATAGGTTATTTTTACAGTCAGTTTAATTAAAATGAACACAGTTATTACAAATGTGGCAGACCTAAAAAACAGGTAGCTTGAAAGTGCAATTATTTCACTTTTTGAAACAGCCTGGGACCAAAAACACACCAAAGAAAATCTGTCATATTTCAGAATTATGAGGGCTCCTATACTAATATAAAACAAATATAACTTTTCAAAATGCCTTGATTTCTAGAATTTCTCTGAACAAGCATATGAGGGATTGTGAGAAGCGGTTGATGGGCTTTTTATTCCTTCAAAATCTGCTTGGCTTTTTAATCTTGAATCAGGTAATGTGAGTTTCAGCACAATCAAATTTTACCAAGAGACTTTCCACTGGTTTCAACGGGAGATTTTAAGTTCTCAGATCATTACTGTAGAGGTAGATCAATGAACTTACTTCCTTTTTTTCCTGGTGTTTTACATCTAATTAAACTAGTTAGACATTTAACAAAAGATCAGGGCTTTCCAAATAATTTAATTAAACCCTCTTTTGCAAATAGCTATAGCCAAGTTGTTATTGCCACAAAGGCAAGACCACATTGCTAAAATGGAAGAAGTGTCTGTGTTATTGACTGGGAAAATCAGAAGTTCCAGTTTATTTTTCTACTGCAGAGGCATTTTGTTTCCAATGCCCAGCAGCCACTGTAACCAGCAAGAGTTGGGTCTACTCGTTTAAAATGTTGTAGTTAAAAGTATGTTGATAGTTGCTGACTCCCCACTGTATTCTGAATTTTTCAGCTAATTTAAGAAGTCCTATTAAGTCCTCTAGCCAGTCAAAGAAGCAAAGCAGTGCTGTGTTCTGAGGTTCCACAAAGACAACTCGCTGCTGAGATGTGAAAGACAACTCAAGAGATGGTTGGAGTTATTGGTGTATTGATCGGTAGTTGGAAGGAGGATTACTGTGGGGTTTTTTATAAACCATAGGAATGCCAGCAGGATCATAATTGAACCTGTCTTACCTGGCAAAGGAACAGCTAGAGTTATAAAGGAGAAATAAGTAGGAAGCTGGAAACACAGATCTCAAGCTAGGAAACACCAAAGTAAAATCAGGTGAACAGTGGCCTCATGACTAGTAGAATAATGTGTCTTCTAAAGATGCTAGCAGTAAAGTTGAGAAAGCAAAGTTAGTATTGGTGTTTATCAGAGTTGTCCTCAGAATAAAGCACAACTTAATCTTTTCTTTGCAAGCAGAAAAGCAAGAGTGCTCTGACATTTAAGACCCTTGGCATATCAGTTATCATTCCATTTTCTTTTTCCTAAGGAAGATAGGAAGTATTCCTAACTGGTCCTGAATAGTGTTGGGAGATGAACAGTGAGAATGCCAATAAATGTGTGTGAATGTCTTTGTTTTAGATGTAAAGGATAAGCAGAGGGGGTGTTGTAGCAAGGATGGTAATTAGTCACAATCCATGACAAGGCAGAAGACATTGTAATTGCAGCATTTTGCCCTGTCACTGAAGCTTATAATTATTAACGCAGCTAACAGGGTGTACTAACTCTGGCAGTTTTTATCACCTCTGCTACTCTGAAATATAATGGTAAAATTTCACAGTCTTCCTGATACTAATTCTTTAAAGCATCAGGGTTGAGTGACTTGTTGGACATTTTTTCCCTATTGTTAATTTGATAACCAGATGTGGTTTTTGCAAGAAAGTAAGAGTAATTCTACAAAATGTGAGAATCAGTGTGATACCTATTTACTCCATCTTCTAATCCATGCACCTTAAAAAGATTTTTTAAAAATGAGATGTTAACTTTCTGATAGAATTCATCAATCAAACTGGAGACTGATTTTTTTTCTTTAGCCACTTCTGCAATATGTATAAATTACTTTGAACTTGCAGACCAAGCCATATTGCATAGGAAAGCTGACGTGATAAATGTGTTCACTTCATTTGAATATTCAAATCCCATGCATTTATTTTAATTCTTAGGAAAAGCTATTTTGAAGCTGTCCAGCAACATTCAGCCACAAATAACCCCAAAGGCGAGTAAAAGTTAGGATAGATTGGGCTCCATTCCACTCCTTCCATGGTACACAATCAGCACATCAATGTGTGCAGCACAGCCCCCAGCCCTGGCCGTGGGGCACCTCTGGGTGCTGCCTGTGCCAAAGCAGCCGTCCCTGCTGGACCTTGGTGCCATGCTCAGTGCACAGGCTTTTCACCACTGCTCTTCCCAATAATGACACTGAGCAGGCAATTTGCTGGAGGCAATATTGTATTTTGCTCTTTTTTGGGCCACAGATCTGACTTCGCCAACGCTGCTCACAGCCACAGGTACTCGTGTTTGCATTGCTCCTGGACTGTGATCAGCTCATTTAACTCCCTGTTGTGAATGGCCATTATTCCACTGTGCAGGCCTAAGTTACTCTACTTTTAGTGAAGAAATGGTTATAATTCACTTTTTTTAATGACTACTGTAATCTCAAAACCTTTTATTTGTTTAAAGGATGAAAATATATGGTCTAGTGCAGGTTTAGTTTGTGCAATGATCATGGTCCTCAATTTCTTGTTGCAGGTTGGTTTTTAAATAAATTGTACTAGGGTTTGTTTAAAAGCAAACTAAAATGCGACTTAAACACTATGACAAAAACCCTTGAAGGAAGGGTTTTTCTTCACAGAAAGGGGTGATGGGGCATTGGAGTGGGGTACCCAGGGAGGTGGTGGGGTTGCCGTCCCTGGAGTTAAGAAAAGACTGATGTGGCACCAAGTGCCGTGGTCTGGTTGACAAGATGGTGTTAGGTCAAAGGCTGGACTTGATAATTTCAAAGGTCTTTTCCAACCCAGATGATTCTGTGAATGTGTTACTCTGCTTCACAACATTTTTACCAGCATTACAGGACAAGTTAGATACAAAAATGTATGCTGAGCTTTTACTAGTGAAACATCCTTTTTTTGTTATATCATAACAAAGCACAGCAATATGTAGAGAAACAGGAAATGATATTATTGGGTTTCTCCCTCCTAAGAATGTGGTCTGAAATTGTACTGCTCTTCCATTGAATGAAAAGCAATATACTTGGGCTGATGTTGCTTATCCATGCATGAAACTAACAAGATCATTACAGGAAAATCATTACAATCCTTTGTACTTTGAGGTCTGTAACTTCAACACATTTTTGTTTCACCTGCTTCTTTCTTCAGAAGCACTGGTCCTTGTGAACATCTCTTCTGATTTTTTTCAGTTTTCTGTTTCACCTGTGCCCAGCAGCCTTCTGCTCATACGTAGTGTCTCTGCCACCCTTTTGTCTTACAGGCCAATTCAAAGACAAACTGATTTTAAATAACCTTAACACTTTTATTTCCTCCATTAGGGGGATAGTCTATACTGGGGTGCCAACCACAGGTTCTCCATAGGTTTAAGCATTCTACAAAGACACACAGAAATTAAAAATAAAGAAAATAGAGAAATAAAGTCTCTAATCGTCTTCAGAAGTTCATTCAAATTTCATGCAAATTCTGATTCAATACCCATTGACTTCATAGATCTAATCTGAAGCCTACTATAGGCTTATTTCTCCCAAATTTGCCCTAAACCAGGACAGCTGGGTTCATGTCAAAGCGAGCAGGGTGTGGGGAAGCTTAAAGCAAACACTGGGGACACACCTGCTGGAAAAATACCAGAAATGTGATTTGTTTCTTCTCTTCACTCTAGCTGTGCAAACATACTGACCCTGGTGTTTGAAGAGGGACAAGCTGCCACAGTGCTCAGAGAAAAGACTTCTTTGTAAACACTCCAGAATTCATTTTCTCAGCTATCAGAATATTGAAAACCCAATAATTCACCAAAGCAAAGAGATACAGATAGCCATGAATATCTTACTGACTGATCAGAACAAAAAGTTTTGTATATACTTTCTAAATTCTTGAAAAAATAAATGAGTCACTATGGCCTACTGCCACCAATATTCTTATGGTACAAAGCTGCAAAAATTAAAAGGTTTAATATTTCATTTATCATTTACTGTAAAATAACTTGCTTTGCAAATATTCAACACACCGCTACATTTTTGTATGTATTTGTATTTTTATAGATTTTTCAGTAAGCATAAATCCATGTCCTGAATTTGGAGGCCTAAGAATTATTTATTTTAGAAGTATAAAAATATTAAGTTAAAAAATATTAAGGTAGTGCTTAAATTTAAATGAATGCTGTGAATAAAGGACTACTTATAGTAAGGTACTAAGCAGAAGACATTAGTCTTGCTTCATTGAAAAGAGCAGTATTTAGCTTAAATGAGACCTATGACACATGATGTTCAGGTTTTGTTCCTGATTTATTATTTCTTTTTAATCCCATGGTCATGTGCATAAGGAACTTTTTTTTTTTTTTTGCTACCAGAAGAGCAGAGGGTAGAGAGAGTATGTGTGGAAAACCTTAAAACCAATTAATGGGAGTGAGAGCTGAAGCAGGTTTCTCTACAGAAACAGACACTTCAAGGAGAATCCTTATTGCTTATGGCTGATTAACATATAAATGTTTTAATGACTGTGTATTCCTGACCTCCTTCTGATGCAGAGGAACAGCTCGACGTGGATGATATCAATCAATACCATCTATGTCACCATGTTAGGTAAAATGTGTGTAAGGATTACTAGGCCTAGGAAGAGCAAATTGAGAGATGTGTCTTATCTTTAAAGGATAAAGCAATCTACTCCCTGTTTTACAATAGTTTCCATTATCATTTGCTCTGTGAAAAATATTTATGCAATTCAGATTGGTTCAGAATTAAGTGTTACAGTAGTTCTCTCTTCTCTTCTGTTAGGTATCCAAGGCTGCAGCAGATTTATTGGCATATTGTGATGCACACATTGGAGAAGATCCCCTTATTATTCCTGTACCTGCATCTGAAAATCCCTTTAGGGAGAAGAAACTCTTTTGTACTATCCTTTGAATCAGTTTTCAATTAAAAATGTTACCTGCTAAAACTTGGTATCAGTGTTGCATGCTTTTAACATTTTTTTCTTCAGATGTCAACACTTAACCCATACCTACAATATTTTTGGAAGGTAGTGCAATTTTGGCTATAAAACCCCCCTAAAATTAAAAAAAAAAATTTAAAAAAAAGAAAAATTCAAGGTAATGCTTATCTTTCAGAGCAATGTACAAGTTTAATTTCAGTACTTCATAAATATTTTTGGTCTTAGTAAAAATACCAAGTACAGTATCAAATTGTAGATATCTTTGCCAGTAATAGATTTTTCTGGGATCCAAATGAGTCATATCAATTCTTGAAGCTATTTTTAACGTTCTTATTTTCCTTGGAAGGTGAATTCAATTCAATTGCCTTTACAAAATTTCTATCTAAAGAGAGTAGCGTGACCTTTTCCTCAAGTAGCACTATTTAGGAAAAAGTCCCAGTGATTTACATTGTTTAGAGTGATTGGTCTTATACAGTAAGTGGTGTCTATAAATATGTTTTCTGAAGACTGTAAGAAACTTGACTACAAAAACAATCCTAGTAAATTGCCATTGTAGCTATAAGCAGAATGAAGATGTATAGTCACACATCAGGATTGCATCAATAAAAACGTAAAAAAATGTGGTTGCTGGTATCTTATTTTGAATGATAATGATTTGAACTATTTAGAAAGTAAACTGAACTGTGAAATAAGTGTTCCTGAGGGTTTTAGTGGGGGGTGTAAGACTGCCCTGAACAGCACAGGGATGAGGAATTACATTTTCTGAGCAGCCCTCTACATGCTTTTGCCCATGAGAGTAGGACTTCATGGGGATGCAGAGTAATGGTAAATAAATGTTGTTCTAGGATATGCAGCAAGACCACTGTGGTGTTGACAGCCACTATGTTTGTACATTTTGTGGCCACACATTAGTTAAGTTGTCAGCAAGTAATTTGTGGAAGTTCTGGGATGTTTTTTTGTTTCAACTTTAAAGTACAGTGAAAGGAAAAGAATGAGTGTGAAATAAAACTGCCTTCATAAAGTAAAATTAAGCTCGTGCAAGGCACCTGATGGAAGCAACTGTTATTTTAGAGATTTTTTTGTTGTTTTTCTTCTCCTTATTAAAAAAAAAATGAAAACTCTTTTTCAATCTGATGCATTAGGACAGTTGTCTCACTGCAGTACCTGATATGTACAGTGCTTCAGCCAGCTCCATAAGGCAGGAGACAATTTTGTTGGAGAACTGCACCACTCTGAGCTGAACAGCCACCCATAAGAGATCAAACTTCCTCCCTTCCTCTGCACCAACTTGTATTCCATAAACATCTTAAATACCTGCAAAAAACTAGCTGAGGAATTTAGGGCCTTGGGGTATTCTTAAATGCTGAATTTAGATGCTGAAAAGGGCTGCTTGGTGAACAAAGCCACGTGCATTTCCCCCAAAGTGCATGTACCTTCTCCAGCTTATTTTTAGCAATTTCCATCAATGTCTGTTGTACTGTTTTGTGCAGTGGAAATACAAGATGTCTGCATTGTACAGATTTTGTTTTCTTTGCTGTTTGTCTTGGATAATGGGCCTCACCCAACTGTGTTCAGCTACTAGTCTGGGCACACAGGACAGGGGGCTTTGGATGGTGCTACTGCTGCAGAACTCACCTCATGTCTCACATGCAATGTTATTGTAAAAACCCCTACATATGCCTTTTAACCAAAAGGCTTTTGGGATGCCTTTAATTCAAAGATTCAAAGGTTTTTGAACTGGGCAGCTGGAGACATCAGTATCTTAGCAGGCTTGACATACCTATGCTGAAAAACATTCAGGTATCTTGAACAGGTCTTATTTTGGGTAGGCTCATCCTTGGTTCCTATTTCAAAATTTTCAGCTTAAGAATCCCATTCCTAACTTTTAACCAAAATATTTCTTAATGTATGGTGTGTTTTTATTTTGAGGGTAGAGAAATAGGGTTTAGCTAACTGAGTTTTATTGACAGTGAAATAAAAAAAGGCTTTCTGAAAATATTTATTTAAAAGAGCAACAAAATGCTTAATAAGGTTCTTTAGGGAATCCTTCCTACAGTGTACATGATTTGGTAACTGCTCTGATCACCATGGCAACATTTTCATTTGTCCTTCCGCATGTATGGTTTTAACTGGAACAGCATGGGAGGAGAATATAGGGCATACAGCTTTATTCTCAAAGGCTTTGTAACAACTTGCATTTTGTGGCTCATCATTAACATCCCCATCTAAAATAACAAAATTGCCACGGCTTATTACAGTATTGCAAACAGCTTGCTTTCTGTTTCCAATTAGGGTTAGTGTCTGACTTCCTGAGATGGAAACATTTCAGTGCTTTTGAGGGTCTCTGGTTGTAAGAGATGCATTTACAAAAATCCAGAATTATTATTCACAAGGGGAGAACGGAATTCTTTTGATCTTCAGGTTTTTTCTCCAAAATCTTTCTTCAAGGAGTTGTGAATGTGTTGGAGTTATGTTTTAAATAGCTGGCTCCCATGTTTGTAGTCTTTTTCATCAATTCATAAATTTCATTAGGTTAAAAAAAAAAAAAAAAAAAAGAAAATGTATCTATTAAGATGATTTTATGCTTCCAATTTTTAAAAAAGTTTTTAAAAAAATTTAAAATCCATCTTTATAGCACTATTAAATTAAGTACATGGAATACCATAAAGTGCATATTTACATTAGCAGATGTCTATAATGTGTTTGAAGAAGTTAAAATGTAGAAGCATAATTCCTTACTGGAGAACAGAACATCTTTCTCTGATATCCTTGGGCCTTATTTTACCAGTTCCTTGAATGACAATATACTATTGGCAAATTAGTAATTTGAAGGGGAAGAGGGTGAGGTGAACTTGGAAGATCAGCACTTCAAATAAAATTGTAACAGCTTTGGATTGCATACAAATATATTATTTTCCTTAAGAACACCATCAAAAAATTGACTCTCTGAAAGAGAATGGCGTCATCTGGTTCACTATTTTTAATGCCAGCTTGATCCACAAATCAACATTTAAAATAATATATTTTCCTCCAATCCCAGCAAACCATAAAATGTCTTTGTCATTGTTATATTTTGTGCTGCTTTAACCTTTGAGGTGGTTTGGATAATCTGCTATTGATACTTAAGTTTCATGCTTAAGCATCTTGCCTCAGCTCTACACAAAAATATCCAAATGATTTTGTACATTTTCCTAAATAATGAATACATCATTATCATGAAGCATAGAATGATGTATATATTTAAAAAAAAAACAACTCTCCAAAATGTGGATTTATCTAACAGAAAGGTTTCCTGTAGGCTGAAGCAATGAGTTTATACTTTCATCAGACGGTCTGATTTGATTCCTACCAATCAAATTATTTTAATGAAAACAAAACCAGACCTGCTGCCATCCAAATGCTGTACTGCTCTCTCTCTGTTTCATCTCATATGCCATTAGGCTTGTTTATTTGTAGTTCAGGTCCAGAAAGTAATGGGTGCTCTCTCTTAACTGTGTGAGTTGGGGCTGTCATCTCATGGAGTGAGAATTTCAGAACAGAATTGGATTCAAGGGGGTTTTGACATGTTATGAGTTATCCTTTCTTCATATCCCAACTCTTGCTGTTCTAATGAAATGAGAGTTCCCAATAGTTTGGTGGCAAATTGTAATGTCTCAGTAGCATATGTGGGGCTGGCTGTTTTGCCTCCATGAGATTAATCTCCTTGGTTTACTTTAAGATGCTACCATTTCAATCCTAAAACCTATTTTCCTCCTCCCCATTATATACTAAATTCCCCTTCTTTACTTCCTATATCATGTATTAAATTAGTAGCGGGGTGCTTGGCTGGTGCTGATAGGCAAATTTTTTTAAGCTAACCTTTATGAAATTATCCCCAAAGGAGAAGAAAAATATGGAGGGAAGTTTAAACTAAGTTATTCTACATCACACCAAAGGTTAAAATAAATACAACCTTTGCTGTCAGCGGTACTAAGGTAAACAATTGTTCATAAGGATGTTGTAACCAGGCATTTTTGCAGTGACTTACAGCAGGATCAGCTCCAACAGAAGGAAAGAACACTTTGGGAACAACAGTCTGTAAAGGTGCATATTAAAGCCTAAACTTCAATAAGGCAGTCATTTACCCAGTTGGATTTCTGATATCAAAGGAGTAACAAAATATGTGCTTTGAGAGGACCTGATTATACGGTTTTTCCAATCTCTTCATTGTATAGGGATAAAAATCTGTATACATAATTTTCCTAGAAAATGCCATAATTATGGCTGTCCTTTGGGTCTGCATCAGAATATGGATTTGTTTCTTCAAGGAGACTAAAGAAAACTTGGGGGAGGAGTGGTTCCTAGGAAATACAGGCTTCTTTTACTGAAAACTAGTTCTTAAAGTCATTAGACTGACTTAAATAGTAATGTGTGAAAAATAGTGTGCAAACTTACCAGAATAAGTGTTACAGAAAATTTTATAGGCACCTGCACATTTAATCTTTAGGTAAATAATGTACATTTGCATCTAATTGAATCCAGCTTTATAGCACTATTAAATTAAGTACAGCCATAAATACTAGAACTGGTATGGGAACAATTTTTCTGTCTGTTAGAGGAAGATGTGCATCTGAGTTTGTCAAGTACATTTACACCACTCACGCTTGTGAACAAACAAAATGAGCAGCTGTACCCTCAAATTGGGTCTTTTCTTTCCCAAATTCCTATTACAAGTAGGAACTGCACAGGCTTGTCTATTACTGCCACCTACTGATAAAGTGATAAGCAGCTGACTGAGATGAAGAAGTACCAATACCAACTAGCAATGACCAAAAGGGGAATTCTGAATTAATACACAAATTGTCTGAAACAGAGAGTCAGCACTCCTGTTTTTGTGGGCTACATTGTGTAAGATTTGACCTGGCACTGGGGCACTGCTGCACTGCTGGGGTGTAGTTACACCTCATGCTTCGGTTCCAGACTGCTCAGTTAGGAAAATACAAAAGACAAATACATTATTTGGCTAAATAGGTCAGGTGTCTGGCTAAAAATGCCTTCAAAAGCTGGGAAAGTCATTATGTGAGCTGGAGCTCATTTTCCAGATTAACTCAGATGCCTGTTCCTCGGTGCTGCTGAGACACCAGTTGTGCCCTTTGCTCCCTGGGGCAGGTGAAGTGGCTGCTAGCAGCAGAAAGGCTCAGCTTTAGGCCAGAGTGAGTCCCCAGCCCAGAGAGCTCCCACCCAACAGCTCCCACTGACGGCTGCTCTGTTCCTTCACACTCAAACTTCACTCCTGCCTGTTGGGTTTTTTATTCTGGGGAGGGGAGCTGTTCTCCAATTACTGGAGTCTGGGCCAAATATTTCCTCATATGCTACAGCAAAATAATACAGCCAGAACAGAGCTTAGGCCACTGCTTATGCTAAGAATGGCATTTTAGGGAAAATACACTAGGCATGGCATAAGGATGTGTTTCAAAACATAGCCCATCCTACAAAATGTATTAGTCGTGTAGCTTCTCACTGCACCATACACTCTTGTGTCTTTGAGCTTT